CTCGCTCGGATCGCGAACGATCTCCCTCTGACGATCTTACGCGAACGATTCTCCGCCGAAGATATGCCGTGAGCGGGGGAAGGGGGGGGGGGTTAAATATAAAATGAAAAATATATATTATTTATAAAATTCAAAGGGGAGGTTAAATAATGACCTCCCGCTGACGATCTTCCAAGAACGAAGTTCCCTTGAACTAATATGAAAAGCGCATTTTATTCTTGCTTACATCGCGAATGATCTCCCGCTGAAGATTTGAAGATTGCCTTTTCATCTCTCTCGGATCGCGAACGATCTCCCGCTGATGATCTTGCGCGAACGGAGTCCGCTACAAATATGAAAATTATCTTCTCGTCTCGTTCGGATCGTGAACGATCCGTTGATGATATTACGCGAACGATTCTCGCATTGCGAACGATCTCCATGTACGAGCCAGGTAATCGTTAAATGGTCCTAAATTGCTCAATGGACATGAATAGAAGTGACGGGTACATTTCCCTTCGAGATAATATCTTGATTTTTCATTGTGTCTTCCTCATTCAGGACAACCGCCGATAACAATAACGGCGTTACAACTGTCAGAGCCGCGGCCTGTGACTTCTATTTACCGGCTTGATAACGCACCTTGAGCCAGGTAATAGTAATGACACTAAAGACAAAAGGCCGACGTTCCCGCATTTGAGAACGGAAATTCACACGTAAACAATCTATATTGTGGGTAGCCGCTCGCATGGGCGCGCTATTGTTCCTATCTCCCATTGAGAGTGTTATCGGCAACGATATCCTGATCGTATTATTGTCCTGAATCAACTGACGCATTACCTTCATGGTTGAGCTGGACAACGCGGCCATATTAGGTGACGAACTTTTCAAAAATTATCGAGTACCTGATTTTCAAGGTCGACGAAGTTTTCAAAGTGAAAAAAATTACGTCGGCGGAAAATCGTCTACCGGCGAAATTTTCAAGAACGACGAAATTTTCAAGACTTTACCGTATGCGTTTAAAAAAACATACTTTTACTTTTATTCAATAGTCTTTCAAATTCATCCCTTTTACAAAATTGGATGGAAGACCCCTGAGGGATTTGACATGATCAAGTCATTCACTCCTATAGAACTACCCCCACCTGATCACAAATGCCTGATCTCTGATTTTTGTAACAGCTATAGAGAATACTAAGAAAACCCCTGGTAGAAGGCAATCCTGTTCAACACAAATGAAAAACACATCTGAACCTTATTCTCTACAATAGATGCACTGTTTTATTCTGGTATTGGGAATACTTATTTGTCGTCGCCTGCACTTTAGGTAAACCAGTCTCCAAATTCATATTTTGGACACCATCTGGAGGTAAGGCTAAACAGAGGCAGTCCAAATGCAACTTACTCTGACACCGTCATGAATGATACTGGTCCAAGTTCCTTGCAATAATGAGACAGGCAGAAACAACTCTGGTCTAAACATGCTGCTGTTGCTGCTGCCATATTCTGCCCAAAGGGCAAAGGATGATGATAATGTAAGATAATGTTACACCTTTTATGGACCCATGCTCTCTCTCTGCCATAGTTTTTAGTAACATATCCATTGAAAAAATTGTATTAATCTAATACAATCCATTTGAATCAATACTGTGGCCAACTTTTACTCATCTAGATTAATATATATTTCCACATAAACCTAGTAATACTAGTATATTTTACTGAGGGCCTACTAGTATTAGTTTACTTAAATTCTATTCATTTTGCAGCCCAGGATGGAAGTAAAATGTATATCTTGATTGTAAAAAAATGACTCATTTCCAAAGAGACTAAACATGCTTTTCTGACTCTTTAAAGACAAGTTTCCTTAGAAAAAATATTTTTTAACATCATTACACTTGAGACTATGAACAAGGCACCCAGCAAAGCCCTCAAATGTACAGACAAAAAGCAGAAAATAATGATCACAAAATAAGTTATGGATAAGTCTTTTAGAAAGAATTATTTTTTTAACATTACGCATTAGACTATATAATACCTAATTCACCATATATGAGGGTTGTTTTTGCAAAAAATAAATTCGACTTTTTACCAACACATGACTAGGGTTCATACACCTCATAATGAAAAAATATTAATAATGAAAAAATATTAATAATGATAAAAAGTCTTCATTAAAAATGCTCATTTCTTGAGTTGAAAGAAATGAAGGCACCTTTAAAAGTTGTTGGACTTGTACCTTTTCTAGTTCATCTTGTTTGCCTTTAGTACATACATTCCATTATTCTAATGAACTACATTATTATTTATATAGAACATTATGTGATATTCATCAAGAATCAGGACCATAGGTGGGGTTTGGAAGGGGGGGAGTCACACTATCAGGAAAAAGGTCTGTTTTGAATCAAAATTTGATCTAGGTTTAAAGCTAGTGATTACCATCTGTACACTACATTATATGGCAATAAAAGTTTGCTTTAACACAAAAAGAATTCTGATAATGTATTCATGATGCCCTCAGACCAGTCCAAATTGGGCTTTCCATGAGTTCATTAGCTCCATTGTGACTGTGCTGCCCCCACAAACTATCACCAGGGCAGAGTGCACCTGCTCCAGTTTCCTCTCTGCCTGCAGCTTGTGGAGGATATCGGTATAGATTACTGCTAATGCAGCACCGCAACCCGGCTCCACCATCATTCTGTGGTCATCTGAGAACAAAAAAAAAAAAAAAAAAAGATTTAATTTTACTTGTTAGGACAGATGTTTGGTAAAATTATACTGACCAGAATTAGTATTAACATGTAAATTTTCACACATTATACTGTTTTACTACAAAACATTTGAGAAACATTATCATCATTATTATTATTATTATTATTATTGGGAAGAGGTTGTTAAAAACAAATTTCAAATGTCATCATTTATGATAGGTAAAACTAGTTATTCTTACCAGCAAATCTATGACATGCCATGACAGCATCCTTGTCTGATACCACCACTGAGTGAAACTTATATTGCTTGTGCTGGTCCCACAGCTGTGTAGAAACAACTGTGGATCCAAGGCACTTCGCTATGCTGAAACAAAGACAATGCTGGGAATGACATGGTAAGATCAAACTGAAAGCAATAATAACTGTTCTTTTGAGATTCAAAATTCCACAAGAAATACATTGTAAACAACGCATGGAAATATCTTATGTTGCTTTTTACCACTAAAACGGCTGTTATTGTAGTAAAACTAAAATCTGTGCTTGTCAATCGGGCTTTCGATGCCCTTCTTCCCGGTGGTCAAGCCATCCGTTGCCAATGATGTTGGGGTGTCATGAAGATTCTCATTCATTCGAGGCCAAAACAACAAATGGCAGCAGACGAAAGCAGACGCGTGATGCAGTTTTCAGATGTAGGTTGTGAGTTACGTTGGATAACGAAAAGTCCAGTACTGCACACATTGTAGATATTAATGCGTTTTGAGTAAAAAGATCTTATGAATCTTACATTATTATTATATAGTGTTGTTGCTGTCTGCTTGTCCTGCGGTTTTAAGTAGGTCACCACAAAATCTCGTTCGATATGGCATGACTATGCAATGTCAGAGAGGGCTCCATCTGTTATAATCTCTTCAGATATTATAACAAAAAACCAAACTCTTAAGAGAAAAAAAACCTGGACTACCTTTGAATGCAGGAACGGAGTCATTAACCATTGGTTAATACGGGAAAATTGCCGTTTACTCCAGGAAAATCCAATTTTTGGCCAAAATAAACAGCCTTTAATGTACTGAACTTCGTATGATTTTCCCCAAAAAGCTCTGTAACAAACATAAAGACATATTTTGGTATGTTTTTTATGTTGTCACACTCTTTCAATACCTAGTTATCCCTGGCAAGGTAACAATTTTGCCAGCCTGTATTGCAGCATTCAGGCAGTTAGCTCCTTCTGTTTCTACAGCTACCACAGGAATGTGCTGCCAACCAACTTTTGTCATCCCTGAGAAAGAGAAGGCACCAATCACACTCTCACTACTGGATTGATGGAACCTCTCATATGCAAAAATGTGTCAAATTCTAATAAGCCATCATTATATAGAATCCATGTCTGAGACATTTCTGCCAATATGAGACAAGTGAAAATGTTTACCCAAAGTTTTAGCTAACGCACTTAAAAAAGTATTGGAACTAAGGGCGTATTCCCATAGATTTTAGATCAATCTATCCCCGTGGGGAAACTCACTAGATTACTGTCAGATAATCTGGCTTAAATGTCTGTCCCGCCTACTACAAGCTGTAAGGGGGTAATTAACTTTCGTGCCCGCTCAGCTGACAGCTATTTAGCGTGAACCCCCTGGGAGTTAGGTCGATCTAGTTTGGATCGATCTAATCTCTGGGAATGGGGTCTAAGTGTTTCCATACATTTTTTTGAGAAGAATAATCATACCTTCCAAAATGCCATTCATTAAGCCTCCTCCCCCCACAGATGCAATGATAGCACCAGGAGGCTGATGCATTTGTTTAGCTGCCTCTATGATCATTGTACTATGTCCAGCCCTAAAACAACAAGCGCATCACATTTTAAATTTCTGTTATCAAGTAAAACAGAAGCTCTATGTAATTAAAATTAGTTTCAAAATATCAGTGGAACTCCCTTTCATATCAGTGCATATTGCCATTGCTATTTTCAGCCTAAATGCAGGGAGCACCTGTATGCCAGCAATTTTCAAGATGAAAGTCAGGGTGTGGAAATCAAACCAAAAGCATGATGATATGCTGAAAGCTACATATTTTAGACAAAGATGATCCACTGCACTTACCAAATATCAGGATGCTCAAAGGGATGGACCATTACACAACCTAATAAACAAAGTTTTGTAAAAGTTATTACATGTATTTGTCTAAGCACTACAAAAAACAAAAGGTAGATAACAGATATTATCACTCTGACTGCATACCATATACATGTACTAGTACAAGAACATATTTTGTTCCAAATAGTCTTTCTAAACTATTACAGTGAGCTATGAAAGAGTGTTTGTCATGGTTTCTAGATACTAGGATGATAAAATAGAATTATTCCTAACTTGGACCTAAATATGAAAGGACATGAAACGCGGCATCTTCCTTTGAAGCTATGTGCGTTCGGGTAAACATTCGCCCATTGTCTCAGATAAGCTGTTTTGATAGCTCCACGGGAGCCTGAACGACTTATTATCAAGGTAGCGCGCGCTGTGCCTCATTGAAATTCTTTTGTTCTATTGCATGGATAACGCAATTTCTCACGGTCCCTTGTGGTTGCTATGATACAGCATTGCCTCCATCTTGCAGTTGCTAGCACATAGACTTGCGCCAACACGTGGAAATTTGTTTTGGGTTTTCAGTATCTTTTCCTGTTACCTCATTAAAACGACCATTACCCAAGTAAATATAATCATGAAGTTTGCATGTGTACATGTCCACATTTATACTTTAATTAAAAGACCAATGAGGGTGTTTGTCCATCGTCTCTATGCTGTTTAGGGACTCCAATTTAAAAATGAAAAACTATTAATTATCATTCTCAAACTGGAGCAGACCATCGGCGGTAATGTGTAAAATTATATATACTTCAGAGCAGTGTTAATGTCAACTTTGATAAAAGAATATTAAAAGGCCCACAGGTGCGTTTTTGTGTGTAACGAATGTGTTTGTGGTGCCGTATAGCAATGAGAGCCCATATTGAAAGTTTAAAAAAATAATAATTATCATTCTCAGACTGGAGCAGATCGTAGCCGGTAATGTGTAAATATATATATACTTCAAAGCAGTGTTAATGTCAACTTTGATAAAAGAATATTAAAAGGCCCACAGGTGCGTTTTTGTGCGTAACGAATGCATGTGTGGTGCCATATTGCAATGAGAGCCCATATTGAAAGTTAAAAAAAAAAAAAATTTTCATTCTCAGACTGGAGCAGACCGTAGTCGGTAATGTGTAAAATTATATATACTTCAGAGCAGTGTTAATGTCAACTATGATAAAAGAATATTAAAAGGCCCCCAGGTGCGTTTTTGTGCGTCAAGAATGCGTGTGTGTTGCCCTATTGCAACGAGAGCCCATACTGAAAGTTAAAAATATTAATTATCATTATATAATTCGGCCTCACATGAGCAAGTAACATAAACCTATACATATAGTACACAGCAGTGTAAATGCCACCTTTTTCTAAACGGTACGTAAAAAATACCAGACCTAAAACGATGTCAGCGAGTTGAATAAATCGGAGAGGAATTGCTTCATTTTAATTCAAGACACGATTGAAGGTTTCATTATTGCCGCCTCTCAGGCTTATTTCTCACATAGAGAGAAAAGTTTGACACTAGAAATATTTTCCAATCGGATCATAGCTGAAAACAAGTATACTACACTACAATTGTACAATTTTGAATGCTCATTTTACGGCAACAAACAAGATTGCCCTTCCCACATAGGGCATTTTGAATTCCTCCATGAACAAACATATCAAATTCTCACATAGTTTCCAAATTGACAGAACAAATTGTACTAATACATAATCTCTATAAGTGTATTGTCCCATCCACCCGAAGGATTGACTCACGTTATCGCGAACTACCTGCCCAAATGACACAAAAAATCATCGACAACTGCGATATGCTCGCTACCTGTACGGGAGGTCACATGATCCGAACGCACATGGTTTCGTGAAGAGCTCACGTTAAGCCGATTATCCTTTGATGTAGCTCAGCGTTTCATGTCCTTCTCTTATTATGTCCATGTTCCTAACTTAGAGACTAAATAACAAACGCAAAATTTTGGACCACCATCTATGGACCTATGACATGTGAATGGTGATTTTGCACCAGAATCAAATGCCCAGGAAGCAGAACACTATCGTAAACCAATCTTCAAGAATAATTCTGCATTCTAATTACAGTGAAGCCTTACAGAAGGTGATAATTCATTTGAATGAAGATATATTTACAATGTTGTATGGCTCAAATGAACTCTTTTAATTATATCGTTCACTCATAGTTTATACCATAATTATTAACATATTTGATACATTTCCAGCTGATCATCATATAAAGTCTCCATACCAGGTTTACTGGCCATCTTCAAGGCCAACTCATTTGCTTCATTCCAAACTTTCCCATGAACTTCAACCTCTGCTCCCTAAAATGAGAAGACTTTTGTATTTAAGTAGTGGTGATGGTGGTGGTGGCTGTGCTGGTGAGGGGGGTGTCATCAAACATTTTAATTTAAGATCTTTTTAGTAAATAGAAAAATTTAAACATTCACCACAAAAGATTTATTCTTATTAGGGTATAAGGTATTATTAAAATAACACATTTATATCATAAATCACTGAACCTCATCTTTTAGCCTGTCTCTGGTAAATGGAGGTGTTGTCTCAGGCACTACAATGGAAGCATGGAGACCAAGTTTCCTTGCTGCATACGCTGCAGCCAGGCCTGAATTTCCACCAGAAGAACTGACAATTTCACTGCAACCTTGCTGTGCAGCCTTAAAAATTGATAAAAAGTACAAATAATTATGGTCATTTTATTAAATAAATGTATATCTGAGGTATGGCTTTCCAGCTGATCGGCGGAGTAACTAGTCTGCGGATCAAATATGGCGCACACCTGACAATGAATTCCTGTATTCCTCAGGTGCCATCCAGGAAGGGACAGACCAATTAAATCTGGCCATGCTTTCAAGTGGGTCGCACCATATTTGATCCGTGGACTACAAGTAGTTAGTCAGCAGATCAATTGATTTTGAATGCTGCCTTGGAATAGCTTTGAAATTAGGCTACATTGTGATGTGAAGTCAATAATTTAATATTAATGGGCCATCCCAAAGTATTTTCTCCCTCTGTAACACTTTTTGACACTATTAGTTCTACTAATTCATTACTTACTGGTAAAATGGAGAGATTTAATTTATTCCATTGGGTATATCCAGCATCAAAGAAGGAAAAAATGATTTGAGACTGCACTTACTGTAGAATCACCCAAGAACCAGTGCAATTAAACAGATTCTTTAAGCAGCAACTGGATGGTGTATGACTTGTTTTAAAAATCACACATACAGGGTAAAAAAAGCAATATATACTGAATATTAAAAATATTAAGGATTTACTATCCAAAATTCATAGCAGCTCTTGTGACCTTACCTTCTGACACAAATTTCCTATCCCTCTTATCTTAAATGAACCAGTTGGTTGACAATTCTCTAGTTTTAAATAAACAGGAAAGCCTCCCAACTTGCTCAGCACTGTGCTCTCTATCAATGGTGTCTGCACATGAAGAGGATCAGATGTATCTGCCATACTGCTGTCATGAAATGTGATAAATACATGAAGATTAACCACAGATCTTCTGGTGCTTCTTCCTAACATTGTCACTCCCTACATGATAAAGGAGCATTCCACATTATTAATTTTTCTTCGATTTTAGATGGAAAAAAACGTTATACTTCACTTGAAAATCTTCTTGAAAATTTATAATACTTTACCCATACTTCAAGTTATTGATAATTTTACCAATAAATGAAACATGAAATATTTAAAATGCCTTCAACATTAATGTAGACTTGCTTATACTACGTTCAATATCACAAGGACCAATATATATTTCATGAAAACAGATTGTGAGATTTTATTTATTGGTCATGTTTTTCTCTTTTTAGGTCCCATGCATATATATGTTATCAAGAACCCCTAAATTGTTCACAACAAAATCATTGCAACATGATGTCCCTTTACACTATTCGTGTGTTATATTATAATGATTATAACTACCCTTGCTTTTCTTAGACTGGGTGCCCATACTTAGATCGATCCATCTGGATCGACCTAACTCCCTGGGGGTTCATGTTCATGTTAAATTGTTAGCAGCCCAAGCGGCTTTTAAAAATGTCTGTCACGTCCACCGAATCAGCTAGGGTAAAGATAATTATCTCCTAACAGCTTTACTAGGCATACCAGACATTTAAGCCAATTATGTTGATAGCAATTTAGTGAGACTCCCCAGGGAAATAGATCGATCCAAATATCTGTGGGAATGGTCCCAAATTGTGATCTCGATCTTATGGCATATTTACATGTATGTTATGTATGTATACTGGTAATCCATGGAAAAGCTTGCTTTATTTGGTATTTATAACCTCGCCCATATTCCATTTAGTTATTAGCGCTTCTGTTTATATCGTCAGTTCAATATGTACTCGAAAATTGAAACTGAAACCTCAGTTCGCTTTCGATTCAGCAACAGCAACAACAAAAACGACACACCTGTCCTGGTAATTAGTGGTAAACGACTCAAAATACGACACTAAAAATTATCGGATTGAGCCTGCGAATACCATTAGCACATAATCAAATTAAAACTTGTATCAATAAATAACGCTGTAAATGTGCATTTTTAAGTTTACTGTCTACAAATATCGAATTACTTTTGACCTGCCACATAGTTGATGTCAAGTTGCGGATATACGTCACTGGAAAGACTCACAGGTGCAATCTTTGGCTAACAGGTCCCCGTGTGTGAATACTGATAAAAAGATTCTGATGCAGACTATGAGTAGGCTCATAATCTAACAATGACATGCACGTTAAAGTCTACAAACAGTGAAGATCACCGTGCTTGCTTACTTACCCAATGTGCGACCTGCCGGAAGTTCGTTTACGAGAGAAATGTGACACAACTACCGCAATCGGCGAGTAGGCTTGGCAACGTGGGCACATTAGTGGGCAAACTGCTTCTTGATAGACAACCTCTGGTGCTTTTTATAAAAATCATATCATAAAATATAGGTACTTTATTTAACATATTATTATTTAAATGTTATAATTACTATTTTCCCTTGCAAAAAAATTAAGATGCCTACTGTTCAAACAAGAAAATAACAATGGAATCTATGAACTTCTTGAATTTATTTACAATGGGTATAGAAAGGGCTTTAAAACAATGTTATTTACAGATTCAACTTTGTATTAAAATACGAATGTTACATAAATCCACTATTGACTATCACACCTATCTTTTCTAACAAAGTTTGCAAGACCTTCTGAGGCAAAATCAATGCGCATATTCATCTCATTCATATATTTTATCACTATACATCCATAACTATAAAATTATATTCTACTGCACATTTTTGTCACTATAAATCTAATTTCTTTAAATATCAACATTTCAATAGATACTGTATTGTCGAGATTCAAGGTGTAATCTGTAGTGTTATTTACCCACATCTCACAATGCTTGAGATAATTCAAAGAAATGAACATGTATAATCAATGCTGTGGTCTTTAAAACAGCACTGGTAATGTCTATCATTAGGTCACTCACTGGAATATTTAACAGTGCAGTATCATAATATTAATTCATTGTATGTATGTTTTGTATTTTGGTGCTCTATAGAGGTATCATTTTTCATCACTACTGAACAGGTTCCTGTCATTCACTGGCACTGGATTTAAATTACATTTAACAACAACCAATTCTGTCACTTAGTGTTCTTCCATAAAACATTTAGAGAAGACTCCAAGAACTGCCTTTGTCCCTGCCATATTTAATTGCTCCAATTCACTGCATGGGTTCCTTTGTTGTGTACAATATTGGAATAAATATATGCTTTCATTTTTTTTGCAGTTTTCAGTCACATTTCAAGAACTAATCACAAAAAGTAATCAGGTTGTGGTTTCTTTGATGGAATTCCTCTTGTGTCCTAAAAATAAAAAGTCCAAAAATAAAATTTGCACTCCAAATCTTACTTCTTGCACAAAAAATTCACATTCAAGAACTCTATGTTATATTCATCACTTGTCAAAAATAAGTTTAGTCTAAACTAAATGCATCAAAAACAGGTTGCAGTTTCTAAAATAGTACAACTGGTTTTTCTATCCAGACAGACCTAACTAAAACATGGGAGACACTTGCTAATCTAGAATATGTGTACATTTGTAAGGTGAGGTTTAAAATTTTGTACTATTCATTGCAGTAGCTTTACCTGTGGTGCAGCCTCAAATATTGTATAATCCCGCTGCAGGTGTTCATCTAATTCTAATATGGCGGCAACATTACCACATCTGAAATAATGAAACAAAAACATGAAACTTGACAAAGGTTCTTGTTATTGAGATATTTTACCAGGACACTGAGACAACTCCATGCATGTTTATTTACAGCAGAGCGTGACTGCTTTCTAAATTTGAATCAAAGTGATCTATTACATTTCCCAAAACAATTTTTCACAAGTGGGATTTAAAAAAGATATTTTAATAACTCTATAAGCCAATTTTATAGCAGACTTCATTTTGGTGAACAGCCTAAAATGACAATTCTTAAAATCGCAATATACAGGATGAGGTGCTTTAAATTCATTTTATCAACATCTATGAATTTTTTTGTTAATTCCGAGGAAAAAAAGAATTGAAAACTTTTATTTTCAAAAAAGTTTCAGAAATGATTTAACTGGCTTTTTTCTTTACTTTGTACTATCTATTTTAATATATTAATATTTTAACTGTCTACATATTTACTTACATTGTACCATCATTATTAATATCTTAATATCTTAACTGTCTATTTATTTATTAACTTTATTAATCTTATTCTGTTAATTTTACCTCTGTAAAGCCTACTGAACATTTTGTATGGATTTTAGATTATAAATAAATATTATTATCATCTTTCCAACTACCATTACCTACCTGTAACAATAGTTAGGTGCTGACCATACAGTAAGAACAGTCTCATTGAAATGCCATTTGTAGCCTTCCATCACCAGCTGATGTGCTCTACATATGAGATCTACATTGTTGGCAGCATTAAACTGGGCCACCACATCACTTCCAAATAAATAACCAGCACCACGGGGACTAACACCCCAGCCCAGGGTATCTGCAACAAAGGATTTATCATTGATCTTTTACTGAGAAATGTGGGTAAAAAAGTTTATAAAAGTACATGGCCAATATGAATACTCAAGTACACATTAATGTCAAACTAATCACATCTGACAATTTGGTTATAGGGTTCTTACTTAAATACATCTGAACACAAGTTTAAACAAATACTGAAGTTCTATCTTATGAGGCGTTTCAAGACCTACCTTCAGGGTCTGACCATAGCAAGTCACACATAGGTCCATCATGGGGAACTTCTTGCTTTCTGTCAATTGCTCTGATTTGATCTAATGTCTGAATGGACGGTGACAGACCCCCATGGACACAGAAGATCTGGAAATGTGTAGTTTTTAAAAAGTGACATCAGTTAAAATATATACAACCACAAAAGAAACACTTCAAATAATGATTTGTTGATGTCCAATGCAGGTCTTTCTTCTGATGATCTGATCTTGCCACTTCCCTTATATCTATTTAACTCAAAGAAAGTATAGATTTTAACAATATAAGTAACCAATTCAGTTGAGCTTTAAAATGTCACTGGTCACATGATATGAAGACTGTGTGGAAAAAATGATATACAGTACAATACTAATATGCAATATGCAAGAGGAAAAAAACTAATACAATCACACCTCTTTTCAAATGGAAAGACACAAGGGATCACTATTTACAAGTAATGTCACAACAGGTATCTGCATGCTGGATTCTTTTTTATTTTATTTATTTTTTCATTCAATAACTTTATTAATTTACTTATACACTTTTTTATTGGGGGGGAGGGGGGTGCAATAACTTCCATCTATGGATTACACAAAAGGTAATACATACCTTTCCATCAATGATTGCTGAAAGACTTAAATAGTCAAAAATTTCTGTACAATATCTCCAAACTGTTATGGATCCATATTTCCTAAGACATTCATCATAAAAACCATACACTTGAGTAATCTGACGACTTTCATGATTGCCTCGTATAAGCATTATCCTATCTGGATATCTTACCTGAAAGGATAAACAATGGATTTTTAACACATATCTAAAAAAAGCTTTGGGTTGTTTCTACACAAATATTAATTCAACTTACAACAAATGAACTTTTCAAAAAATAGAAAAAAAATCACTTACTTTTAATGCTAATAGTAATAAAAATGTCTCAACACTATAGAATCCTCGGTCCACAAAGTCTCCTAGAAACAGATAATTTGTATCTGGAACATCTCCTCCTACTTTGAATAATTCCTTCAAGTCATAAAATTGGCCATGGATATCTCCACATACCTGAAACAGATGAGTGAATGGTTTTAAATCATCACAATACTGTCTCTAAACAAACAGACAGATATCATCAATGATAATAATTGCTTTCACACTACAACACACCAGATTTTAAAGTTTAAGATGTAAAAATAATCTGAATGTTCAAGGAATATTTAACTTACTGTGACTGGTGAATCAACTCTCTGTACATTACTTTCTTCCACTAAAATTTCTCTTGCTTTGGCACATAATGCTTTCACTTCACTTTCTTTGATAATTTCACATCGGCGGAGCTGCTCTATCTGTCGATCTAAATCACTTGTGTCAGACATTATCCCTATAACCAAAAAACAAATACCATGGTAAATCATGCCCATCCTGTTTGAAAACGCCCCCACATTTCACACACAGAAGCTCAGTGATACTTTTCAAAAAATTTATTAAACTTTTCACCGATCAGTTTTAAAAATGGCAATTGTATTATAAAGCCAGGCATTTCTCAAAAGTTTGAACGTCATTTATATACTAACCACACTGTTAACGACACTTTTGTTTAATTATATGTGCAAAACGATAAAATATTTACACTCAGCTTGAGCGGATAAATCAAAAATAACAAAAAAAAAAGTGTGCTACCGTAACTGCTTTTTCTTGCAAATTCTGCCGCTGATATAATTTATGACGAATGAATTGCTGAATAGTTGTAGTGACAAATCCGTCGTTTGTCAATAAAATGCTAGATGGAAGAGCTATACTACCATGGCCCATAGGAGCCTACGCGTGCGTCTTTTAGACGCCCCTTTACATGCGAAAACGACAAGGCCTATGCCGAGTTCGTCTTTTACTACAGAGCTTTGAGAGCAGAAAATGGCATGGCTGTGTCTCTTTCGCCACTTACTGAACTCCAGAGATGCGAGATTGACACGACCCATGTCGCGTTTGTCTCTCAAAAGACACTGTTTGTTACTTTCAGCCAATTAATTTGAAACAGAAGGACCGTCTTAAAACCCTTTATATTTGAATCCTTGAAAATAAAAATATGAGGCCATATAATTATTACAAGCAATTAGCCACACTGTTATCTAGATAGCACTAAATTATGATGGGATTCAAATGAAAAAAATGTTTTGGGACAGCACAACACTGTTTCAAATTAATTGGATTTGACATATAAGAGTTGGCTGAAAGTAACATGAGCCCTTTAGGTTAATAGGGTTTCAACTGACCCATGTCCAATAGTACATGTCGCGCGCGTCTGTGTGGAGATAGATTTTGTTGGAGGTTTGTAAAAGTTGAAAGCGACATGACTCTAAGGTCACGTCAACTTCGTTTATAAGGGTCTACTTATTCAGCTGCGAAAATCACACGTAATGCCTATTTCATGTTTTATAACAGTGTCTTTTGAGAGACAAACGCGACATGGGTCGTGTTAATCTCGCATCTCTGGAGTTCAGTAAGTGGCGAAAGAGACACAGCCATGCCATTTTCGGCTCTCAAAGCTCTGTAGTAAAAGACGAACTCGGCATAGGCCTTGTCGTTTTCGCATGTAAAGGGGCGTCTAAAAGACGCACGCGTA